AGCACACAGCCTTGCAATCTCCATAGACAAACACTGGCAGTAGAATAGAGTAGAACTGAATAGCTCAGTGGCTTTAAATGTGGCACCATCATTGCCACAAGCCAATTTATGAAACTTCTGTCCTGGTAGATCCACCTCGGGTTACCTGCAAGTGCTATTACTGTGAAATGTAAGTGTCTAGGAGCAACAACAGCTAAGCCACGAAGCAGCAGACCACACAAACTCACAGAGCGGGACGTGAAGCACATAAAAATCGCCTATATACTGTTGCATCACTCGGTACAGAGTTCCAAACTGCCTCTGGAAGCAACATCAGAACAAGAACTGTGCGTCAGGAGCTTCAAGGGGTTTCCATGGCTGAGAAGCTGCACACAAGCCTAATATGACTATGTGCAATGCTGAGCCTTATCTAGAGGGGTGTAAAGCACACTGCCACTGGATTCTGGAGCAGTGGAAACGTTCTCTGGAGTGATGAATCACTCTTCTCTATCTGGCAGTCTGATGGATGAATCTGGGTCCATTTACTGGGATGCGTGGTGCTAATAGAAAAGTTTGGTGGAGGAGGGAGAATGGGCTAGGGGCTGGTTTTCATGGTTTGGGCCCCTTAGTTCCAGTGAAGGGTGATGTTAATGCTACAAAGACATTTTAGACCATTAGACGCCAATTTTGTGCCAACAGTTTGGGGGAGACCCTTTCCTGCTCCAGCATGACTGAGCCTCTGTGCACAAAGTGAGTTCCACACTTCAAAACCTTGTGGAAAGCATTTCCAGAAGAGTGGCGGCTCCATATTAACGCCCGTGACGTCCAACAGGTGTGACGGTGAAGTGTCCGCATACTTTTGGCCACATAGTGTATGTCTTGGTTGATCTCATTATAACTGGACAGCGCTAAAAAACAGGTGTGACAGGGCTTAATTCCTTCTAAAAGACGCACATGATTACATAACATTCGTATTGTGAGTGCTAAAGTGCCCTCGTTCGTCCTCTTCAGGAACGAAGGACTGCGGTCATCACAGCAGAGACAAAATCAGCTGCGTGGCTTCTTTCGTCGTCTCCTCTACTGTTTGTTTAGTTATGGTCACAATATGTACAGTCTAAAAGTAAGTAACCGCCCTTACACTTACACGAACAAGGACTCACGGCGCATTTTTTTGTTTGATGACAAACATGCATGGCAACCTTGCTCCCGTCACAAAATCCAATCATAACTGGCCACTGAAGACGCTATCGAGATGCATGGAAAAGCCAGGTGCAAACGGCCATATGGCTCACTGGCCACTTATGGTCAGATCAGTCTGACAGAAGTTAATACCAGGCATGAACAGGGCCTTTGATGAGAAGCTCTCACTGTGCGTACATCATCTAATGTGATCCGATGATGTAGCAAGTCAACAATAACTCTAGACTCCTGAGGGTTCATCTGACTGGATTCATATTTGTGCGCGAGCTAATTTTCATCCAAATCGAGCCATCCAAATCGAGAGTGCGGAAGAGGTTCAAAGAGGACGCGGAGACTTCAAAGAAAAGGTCAGATCTGTATCGGGTGCGTGTGGGAGGAAGCAATAACAACTTGTTTAACTTCCTGCCTGAGCGGAGCTGGCGAGGTGGGTGAAGTTTCGGGTTTGGTGAGAGCGATCGTGACATCAGCGCCTCTAAGCGAGCAGCAAGCAGCGCTCAGTGCCAGCCTGCTTTTCCGATGACACATAACGTCTGGCTGCTATCTCCCTGAACCAGTCGGCCGAGCAGGAGACGAACAGACACACACACACACACTCACACGCGCCCGCACACACCCAGTGACACATGAATGTCTTACTATTCAAGCGCTATTTGGTTTGGGTGGAAGAGAAAAGAGAGACAGTACACAAAGACAGAAGTCTTTGTTTACTATTTTGCTTCTCTAACCCCAATAACACCGACATGCTCGGTCAGATACCTGTTAGAGCTGCAGGATATTTCGAAAGTTTCGTGCTTTCAAGGTGGTAAACAAGCTAATACTCTAGGAGTACTTTCGATTCGTTATTTAAATAGGCCAACATTGCGTTGGTCTCTATTGACGAATCAAATTCAAGTTTAGGCGATATTTTTTTGCTTGTAAATAAGTTAAAACATCCTCCACAGAGAACAAACTTCTGCATATTTTAATGCACAATTACTGCTTATTTGCTGAATTCAACAAATGAAACATATATATGGCCTGTGCAAAACTTAAGGCAAGTTTATATATGTTAAACTCAAATGTAAGAGTCTGATGTAGTATGTAAATATTGTAGCTTTCAAAACATGCCACTCACTCATCGGTCTATATATGGAAACTAAAGTGCACAAAATGCCCGTTTTAAATGTATTATGATGTGTATAAAACCTCCAAATACAGGGTGACTCAAAAAGATTCATCCGATTTCTAAGCGCCACATTTTTACAACCGTGAGGCGCCAAGGAACCAATCACAATCCAATTGAAAGAGCGGTCATTGAGTTTCTGACTGTCAGTATGGCAGTGAACCTCCAACAGTTCCAAGAAAAAGATCACCAGCATCACCAGATCTCACGCCGTGTGACTTTTTTTGTGGGGGTATGTTAAGGATTCTGTTTATGTGCCACTTCCAACAACACGGGATGATCTCCGAAATCTCACTGAAAGAGCCGTGAGTGCAGAGACACCCGACATGCTCAATCAAGTATGGGATGAATCTGACTATGGTGTTGATGTCGTCAGTACAGCTGGAGGAGGTTCATACTGAGCACTTGTACAATTACATAATAAACTTTATGCTCATTTAAACCATTTACAGTTCACTGCATTGATCTGTAATGATTTACAAGTAAAATAAATCATTTTGAAATCAGGTGAATCTTTTTGAATCACACTGTATTATAAGTGGAGCCCAGTGAGTAAAAAATAAAATACAACATAAAAGTAGAATATGGGCATTACTAAGAAAAGCCAACAGCCATCAGCTGCATGTATGTATTACATAACTATGAGTGCTGATTGAGGATCAGTTATTTTGCCTTTCTCTAATAAGTGCACTTAAAAAGGTACAGAAGTGCTAGATCAGCACTCGGGCAATTCATGGACTCTGGTCTTTTGGTCTTTAGACAGCAAAGGCAGGACACACTCGGTCACTTCCACCTGGTCTAGACAGCCTGGTCTACTCGGGCCCTTGAAGTGAAGAACAGAGCATTTGTGCTTTTGTAATACGTGCATGCATGTGTGCTTGTGCCTGAGGGACCCCCACCCACCCGGTGGTCTAGCCCAAATCAGATAAGGTGTTCAGGACTGCATGCGTTATGTTCTCTCCAAGAAGAACACATGCTGTTCAGACTTTAGAACACTGGCATTGTTTCCCAAAAGCACAGATGTATGACTGATATCATCATTAAACAGGGTAGAGAGGGATTCAAGCGATAGTTCGGCCAAAATGAAGGCCCAGTCCCATTTCTTATTTTTACCCCAACACCTGTTTTGAAGTGTCTCCTTGCCCCTTGGAACCGAGTTACAGGGGTAGTGGTTGAAATCTTCCTCTATGAAATGGGACCCTCAAATAAAAAGAGCATCACTTCATTAACAGCTACTAGCGCTGCTCTGTAGGCGACCCTGCCAGTCTGCAGTGACAGCAGAGGAGGGTAAAGTTCAGCTCCTCACTGCTGGGCTTTAGTTACATTTAGGGCATCATAAGCCTTCAAAGAGGGGGCAATTATTTATTATCACCCATCCCTAATTGCTCAGTGATATGAAGCTGAAGTCAGATATTCACCAGCTTTTTGTTCAGGTTTCCTGTTCCACCTTAAATGGCGCAGCAGTTACATTCTGGTGCTTCAGGCGTCAGAACTGCTGGACTATTTAAGGTGGAACAGGAAATTTAACTAGCTACAGAGACAACAGCGTACTACTAGCAATTTTTAAGCTTGTTATGAAGAAAAGGACCATAATACACTGAAACGACATTAAACTAAGACAATATAATGGTTATCGTAACTTTTAACATGGAATATTTTCACAGTTGTGGGTTTCTTTGGTCTCTTGTTCAGCCATCTTGACAGTTTTTCTTCTTTTCTCATAACTCTCTGTTTGGAGGGTCATGTAACCCAAACACTTCGCCCTATCTCAACAAATTCGGGACACCCTACCCCTAGACGTGAGCGCGCAAAACTCAGCGGTAGGGCTAAGTGGTAGGGGCGAGGGGTGAAATGGGACTGGGCCTAAATGTACGCAAACTTTCCTTTTAAGACATGTTTGACGTCTTTAGTTTGCTTCCTCGGTTTCTTGCTTCCTGACACTGTATGACAGATGTACAGATAAAATTCAGACTTTAAGAAGTCTTCTACTGCTGTTATCAGCTCAGACACACTTCTGCCCATTTGTCTATCTCTTTAAGGCGAAACTATAAACTATGAACTTGTCCTGCACATTTCAGAACCACACGCACTTCTGTATCCACAATAATCTGCACTTGACGTAAACAGATCTTTCAATGCAAACTAAATTACGCAACACTCTGTGTAAAGGTGAGGCGACCCATAGCGTCTGGTTTCAAACCCTGTGCCAGTGCTCTCTGGCCTGTAATAGGAAACTTTAGCAGCATTGCATAAGGCACAGCTCGAGGTGCTGAGGGAGGCAGAAGGGCGTTTAGATTAGCAGAAGTGCTTCACTTCTTAGTTTCACTTTCAGCAGCCTGTTGCTGAGACAGGAGCCCCTGTAGACGCAAAAGCCTCAGTACAGCGAGGGGTAACGTGGCTCTAATGGGAAAACCTGGCAGAAGAATGTGTCATTTCTCTCCTGCAGTGTTTGTGCAAGGGTGTGAATTAAGAAGGGCCGCAGCTTCTGCACCTACATTGGGTTTTTCTCTTGGAGGAACAGCTCAGTCAGAAATGACGATGAATGAACGAGAACAGCCGCCAGGCAGCATTTGTTATAAGACATGTCAGCATATATATTTGGCTGAGATGCCCATTTAACATGGTGTATCTGGGTGATGTAAAGATAGTTTGGACTCACCGATTCTTCTCCAACTCGTTGTGTGTGGACCTGCAAATAAAAATAAAAAAAGAAAGATCTTAAAAAAACACAAACGTGACAACTACTGAAGCCCATCACTTAAACAAACCTAACCATAACCACAAGAGCTAAACCTCAAACAGCTCCCAACACCCTATGTTGTTCACTTTGTAGGTCACAGCAGTTTTTGCACGCAAACAGTGCATTATATATCTAAGAGAAAGCCAATTACACGCAGCCGAAGCAGCACAACACCCTGTGCAGCCTGGGCGTAGAAGCCACAGTTTCATTAACTATGAAAAAGTCTGTACATTCACTACGAGGAACATATTCTAAAATGGCACTTTTCTCCCCATTGTAATGTTGTTTTTTAGCTGGAAAAAAGATAAAACATTGAATATGAAAGGTGCCATTACTTTTTCACACGCCTCATTTTTACGGTTTATGTTTTCAATATGTTCAATACAGCAAATAAATAGTAACTGTGCATTAGCTGTTTCCTATAGAGGATGCATTAACTTATTAATTTCACTTAGAAACTGTTGCAAACATCTATATATGTTAATGAGCACGTCTCTGCCTATCCAAGTCAAATTAGCTGAACGTCTGACTAAATTATCTGATCTAAGATCAGTATTAGTCCTTTATTGTCACGAGGTATCCCTGCCTTGGTTCTTTCCTGCTCTAGTGCACCTCCTTCACCTGAAGAAGTTGGATTAGTTGGATCAGACGTGTTAGATCAGAGAAATCTGCAGGACAGTTTTGGGAATCACTGGATTGCCATACAGCCCGATTCTACATCTCCACACTGACCCTCTAGTGCGGCACGGATTTATTAATTCATCTCTATAGGACCCACCCCCACCGCCACCCCCACCTCCATTCCACCAGTGGTTATTAGCATGCTTTCTACAGGCTCTTCTGCAAGGCCCGCACAATCGAGCTGCTTTGTGTGCAACAATCAGAAGAAGACAGAGAGAGTGCTGCAGAGACACGAGGGAGAGCACGAAAAGAGAGAGAAAGCAAACAAAGGAAGAATCTGTACTCTATATATATGCACGTGAGAGAGTTTCCCTCGCTCCGCAGCGAGCGAGCGAGCGAGCGACGGTATAGGCTCTCCCTCCCTTCTCTCTCTCCGAGTAGGAGCCAGTGTGTTGTTAATAATGTAAAGTGAATCAGCCTCTTTGTGTGGCAACACGCTGAAGGCAAGCAGGCTTTCTCTGGGCTGCTGCACTAAATGGCTGGCCGGAGACGTTGGCTCAGAGCTGGCCCAGTGCTGGCCCGGCGGGGGCCACTTGCTCTGCAGGTCATGTGGCCACTTTGCTTTATTGGTCATGCCACGTTTTGCAGCTTAACAGTGGGCGATATGGCGAAAATATAACAGCACGGTACATTAAGACATCTTCACAATGCACAATATACATAGTGATATTCAGCTTTTCATAATAGGATTGTGTACCAGCTGTGAAAAGGCTATGAGAAGTTACCAACACACTATGGTTTGTGTTCAGTCAAATGAGTGCATGACAGTTTTGTTATTCATCAGTTTTCTCTTTAGTGTATTTGTATAATCGAACTCACGTCTGGTAGAAGTGCACATAAATCTGACTGTAATATATTTAACAGCCTGAAAAATAGCTCAAATTTTTGTCAATAAGATCAATAATATTAGCTATAACAATAAAATGATATTATTAATTTTGCACACTATGTCCACTTTAGCACCAGGATTTGCATACCTTGTTTTACGTGAACACTGATACAAACAAACGCTGCTTCTATTCCATTTGATGACTTTTGCTTGATGTTACACCGTGAATATCTAGGCTACCTCCCTAAAATAAATCATAACAAACACAGCTTACCTATTACAGTAGAAGGCACCTTATATACTGCAATATTTCAACCCAAGCAGCCAAAATAACCTACACACTGTAAAAAAACAAGCTAAAACTATTTGTTTATTCTTTTTAATTGCTGCAATTTTAGCACTATAAAGCTATTTAAGCTCTGGCCAGCAGGGGGATCAGTGCACCTGCTGCTCAACCCCAAACTTCGCCTATGAGAACAGCCATTGGCTCATGAGCCAGCTAAATACTTCCTTGATTGGCTAATTATCGAAATATTTGCATTAATTAGTGTAAATGATATGAATAAAACAATCATTGTAAACGATATTTGATATAATACTGATATAATAAATGAAGCACTCGTGCATGAGCGCTTGTTTTCACGCACCGAAGCTGATTCATTAACTGTGCCCAAATAACTGCTAATTTCCTTACATTTTACTGAATCAGACAGTAGTTCGTGTGTCACTCAGGGCAAATCTGCACTCTATGCAAGGGTCAATATGCCTTTATTCAAAAATAAACTAAAATAAAAGCAAACAACATCCAATCAGCTGCTTGTTAGATGCACCAGTTGTTATCTACTGACTCCCTCTAACTGGTCCTAATCTTGCATTTGCTCAGTGGTCTAGAAGTACTGACAATTCCCCCTGACACACTCAGAAAAGTGTGCTGTTGCGCCATTTACCGTGATAAATACAACATATCGTCATACCGCCCACCCCTACTGCAGCTGACTCGAAGGCCTGGGTGCCTCTGAACATCTGGATGTGGACGAGGGATGGAAGGAGGAAAAAAAACAGGGAGAAAAGAAGGCAGCGGCTGTGTTTTTGAAGCTTCAAATGTCGTGCGACAGGATGCGTGGCGCCAAGGGAACGCACGTGTGTGGCTGTACGGGATCCAGGAGTTACTCCAATCTACTAATCGATGAATAATTCATTTTCAACCAAGCGTTAACCACTTTGTTTAGCTACTGGAAAATAAGGGTAGGGGTGCTGAGTGTAGTTGAAAGATGTATTGACAGACTGTAGGCAAAGGGGCTTGAATGCAAGAGACAAAAAGGAACGAAGATTAAAATGCCACACGCAGTTTGCAATAACAGGCACAAATGGCTGTGCGTTCCAGAGAGACGGCAATAAAAGGCACCATCATCATAATCGCCCTGTTTACCTAGACAGGTTATAGGCCTATTGTGGTGCGAAGCGCTGAATGGAAGCTCCAGCTGAGGCCTCCTCGAGCACACTCAGACAGGTATGCCAGCAGATCAGATATCACACTGCAGCCCTGCATTCTTTCTCTTTCACTCTCGCACTCGCACAGAGGGCGACCGTCTCTCTGCTCAGCTTGCACGGACCTACAATCAGTCATCAAGATGTCTGACACTCAAATGCAGAGCAAACCAAGCCGAGGAAACCCTGCCTGCACACATGCATGCATGCACACAGAAAACAACCAATGCAAGTAAAGTGGCTGCAGTAACGTAGCTGCACTTTTGCATGTCTGCATTTAGTAGAGATCCAGTGCACTGAGAAATATGCATAAAGAGACTTGAAAACTGAGTTATTTTCTAATATGATCACTAGCAAAACCTGAGGCCACTATAACAAGCAATTTTATAACCATCAAAAAAGATTCCCTCTGCTTTACAGCCCTAATCCAACATAACCACACCTGTAGTAGTGTGAGAACCACTCATAATTCACATGATATGATGGTGGGGAAAACATAATTCCCACAAAAACTTTCATACTTCTCAGAGAATTTAACTGCTGGGGTCAAACTGACCTCAAGGATAGAACATGTTAGTAAATTTGAGGATAACAGGAGGGTTGAAAAGGAGCAAACCACATTCGTCTATTCACCTTGGCAGCAAGAAAACAAGGCCTGCTGTAAATAAAAAGCCTTTAGGGTTCGTGGCAAAACGTACCCTTTGTTGTAACAGCGCACACTGACATGCAATCAAAAAAACTATGACAAAATGATTATAAAACATATACTTGAACAAAAGAAAATTATAGTTGTGATTTAAAAGGATTAGCCAAAACCATCCCCTCGGCTTTTTAGTACTCGCCCCACACTGAGGTTGTGAATTTTCCCCCGGTCCCTAAGCTCCATGCTGCAGCAGCACCGTTTGACAATCAGCTGATGAGAGCTGTGCAAACTCCCCTCCCCCTCAAAAAGAAGCCAACATTTACACCTGCAAAACGGCATTACAACTCCAATAAAGCCACAACACGTCCAAGAAACATCAAATTTGACTGATTTATTAAGGCAGCTGGTCTAAAAGTGTCTGCAGAGTGACGTTATCGTCTGCTATAACGTGATAAGTGCAGGTTGTGCTGCTTCAGCCTTGCTGCCTTATTGATGGGAAACGTAATGCGACACTAGCCCCCTATACTAACCTACATATGATCAGCAAAGTGGTGTGGCGGCGGTTTTGCTTACCTGTTGTGACTGCTGTTGTACTTTTTATTTCGGAATTTCCTTTGTCTCTGGTAGGACGAGCTCTGAATAGACGGAAACGTCGAGGCATATCCGTGCTCACACTCTGCGCGAAACAGAAGAGAATAATGGACCTTAAGCCACTGACACTCGCTGAAATAACACAAAATACAACACATGTGGCGTCTATAATTTCAGAAACGTCTCCGACACACAGACGACAGGCGACCACAGCGCAATTTCGACACCAAAAACGTTAACGTTACCTCTTTCTCTCCTCTCTAAATACTCGGCAGCTTCCAGTAACCTCTGGATATTTAGCACCGCGGTCATACTGGTTCTGAGCGCCGAGAAGGGTTTATGATATCAAAATGAACGGCTATTGCTTCTAGACAGTCACGTTAAAAGTGTGAGGGCGTATTATTGGTACTCCCTAGGATGTAAAAACTACTCCTGTTGAAATTTTTGCTGGTTCTGACAAGCGAATGTCGACCTGAACTGATTTTTTTGTCCTCCTTCTCAAGCGTTAACCTAGCAAGGGTTAGCAAACCCGGTTTTTACAGCAAATTCTGACGGAGCAGACAGGTTTCAAAAACAGCTCGCCGTTGTCTGAATAGTAAAGTAGTAAAAGTATTTAGGAAACAAGCGACTAAAAAGTGTACAAAACGAATAAAAAGTGTACAAAAATGCCCCGAAAGCCCAGCAGCGCCTGTAAAGTCTCGCTGCTTGTGTCTCTCCTCCCCCAGTTTGTTTACCCAGCTGAGAGGAGGAGAAGGAGGCGGCGCGCAGGCTCAACACGCACAGGCGCGCTGACTTATGGGAGATGGAGTTTTTTTCCTATGCAACTCCCGCTACGGCGCAGCTTCTCTAAGCTTTTCTAAGATATATATATATATGTGTATATATTTTTTAGGAGAACGTTAAGCGCATGTTGAGAGTAGGGCCGTGAGCCACAATCATTTCTTCGTTGTGACAAACTGTTTTACCAAAAATTATAGTCCAGAACAAGAGGTTCTTGTGCTTGTTTGCTGCAGTTCTCGACGTGACGGGTTCAACATTGTGTCTGCTTAATTTAAACGTCGTGACGGCGCACTTTAAAACGTGACGCCTTTAAAAGAGGAACGGACTGGGCTCCTGTATACTTCGAGCACTTCAACTCCCACAACCGCTCGCTCGGGGAGGATTTAACGGCCGCCCGCAAGCCCGGCCCAGCAACACGTGACGTCACGCCAGGCCTCGCGTTTGATTGGACGACAGCCCGGCGAGCGGTGCCAACCCCCGACGGATTCGACCAATCAGAAGCGGAAACGGTGTCCATGTGGAAAGCATGTGAGCGCACCCTCCCGTCACCAGGAAACGAATATGGAAAGTTGGGAAGTCTGGATCCCACAGCGTAGGAAACTTTTGTGGGAGATTTAGCTCACAGGGCTGGATAAGTTTATGAAAACCGAGTCATTTAAACAAACGTACAGCAACAGCTTTCACTTGATCTGCTGTTCCGAAAATGACTTTATGCGATGTTAGTAATAGAGTCATATGGAACTGAACCGGTCTGCTAAACGAGATCCAGAGCATTAACTAACGTTTAAGGCTTTCTGGACGGAAACCTCCACATTAAAAGCCCTGTAGCTTCTTATTACGTTGGTAAAATCACTTTTAGCTACGTAAAAGTACTTAAATGTGCCACGATGAGCATTTAGGCTGATGTATGCGTAAAAGCCGCTCCTCCCTCCGAGCCAAACTTCTGAATAGGCAACGCTGCACCAATTACTGAACACCTGCCGACCCTCGGAGGTTCCTCAGCCCTGGATGAGATGAGGGGGGCTAAACTCGGGGAACGGGGCGCACAAAGGAGCGCCAGACACGGAAAGAGGCTTTCCGCTGCCAGCGCGGCGGGGCAGATTTACAAACTGGGGCAGACAGCGAGGGAGGAGAGCAGAGGGGGGTGGAGGTGCAGGACACGGGTCTGGAAAAGCTGCTCTGACTTGAAGGGCAACTCCACCGGCTTCTCAAAATTTCTGCACGATTCAGGGGTCGAGACATAAACAGTCATTCCGCTTATCAGAATCAGAAGCGTTCACAGCGGTGGTGATAGGAACCAGACGTCTGCCTCTCTTAAAGCTCCGTCACATGAAATGCTTGTGATGTCTGACACGTTGTTTTATGATAGGATATATGCCTTAAACGTAATGTCTAGTACATGCAAGGCAGGACAGTCCCCAAAGTAAACCTATTTTCCACTATTTTGCCACCATCAGCACTGCATATGACACCACAGAAGGCACGTGGTGGTCAGTAAAATGGATGGTTCTCATCATCACCACTGTTTACATCTCAAGGAATGGATTAGTCAGAAATTCGGATAACATTGGTGGAGTTCCCCTTTAAACCCCACTATCAGCTGCATCATGCTGGTGGAAGAAGAAGTGCTGCTAAGTAAGATTCATTCTGCACCAAAAGTGAGCACTTGCGCAAAAAAAATCGCCCTCACGAAGCTACATTTGGGTTAAAAAGGAGAGAAAGGCTGAGTGGAAACTTGTGCAGCGGCTGCTCGTCGCTGGCTGAACTCTCCGCTCCTTTGTTGTCTGAGTCTGTTGACAATGAAGCAGCTCGAGCACCAATTCAGTTCAGTTCAATTCAACTCAGTTCAATTCAGTTCACAGCTCAGCGCAGCTAGCACGGACCGAGGGGCTCACTTACTTCCATCTTTCCTCTCCGCGCTCTCGATGTAGCTGGCCGCCTCCAGCAGAACTTGGACGTTTTTGAGGAAAGTGTCTATCTGGTCCATGGGAGAGTCTCCGGAGCCGAAGACGTCATTGAAAGGGCAGCCAGACGCGGCCAGACCCCGCTGGTGCTCCACTGACGGCTCGGACTCCATAAACACATCTTCAGCCTTCACGTCCCGTCGGTGTCTCTCACTTCTGACCATGTTTTTTGTTGTTTTCTGGGTGCTGGTTTCTCGCAGAGTGGGATGTGAGGTAACCTGAGGGGTCTCAGTAGCTCTGCTCACTGAGTGTGAGGAATGAGCTGCTATGGATGAGGGGGGAAAAAGTCAAGCCCGGTCTGCAAGGTCCTAGTGCCCGCCTACCCGCACCCTCCTTTCAAAGAGGCTTTCTTTTTGGACCGACTCTTTTCAATGAATCATTTGAAGCGATTCCCGACTCCCAGCTGTTTGCAGCATGTGCGCTAATGTGTAAAATCATATTATGAGCTGAAACATTCTAATAAAGTGTAATATTTGTTGTTAGAAGGTTGGAATATTTATTCTAATGTGATTTATTACAGTTGAAGCTGAATCATATCGTTTAGTACCGTGGGGGGTGCACAGAAGAACCTTAGAAAACTCGGCCCATGGCGAAGCTTTATTTAAAATTGACTCGGCAGCTGGACTACCCCAGCTAAAAAAACAGCTGAGCTGGTTTAGCAGGTCACCCAGCATGGTCATGCTGGTTTACCAGCATACCAGTATTCAAAACATAACATTTGATGGTGACCAGCAATGCTGGTATACACTGGTTTTTCTAGCAGGGACAAAATCGCTCTTATTTTGAACAAGGAAATACACTCTTTTAGACCACTAGCTCAGCCATGATCCACTTATGAATAAGGAGGCAAACCTGGGTGACGGTGACGGTGACTCACACTTTCAAAATATTGTACCAACCTGCTTAGAAGTTTGCATAACCTCTAAACATTAACATGGAGTGTTTAACACTGCAACCAAAAACCCTTAACTGTTTTTTAGAAGCATCATGGGAACCCAGGTGTGCTCTGATGCCTAGAAGTCTGTTGCCTCCTCTTTGAGGTCTCCCAGCCTAAAGGGGGTATCTGGTGTCCACACAGGCTTGGCCTTTGGGCTGTCTGCTGGGTCACCAAGGAGCACTGAGGGGATCCCGAAGCTACTGGGGAGCGTTGACGGTGCTCTGGCAATGCCAGGGAGTTTGGAGTTGTTCTCTGTGCTGCTGAGGAGTGTTGGTCAGGTTCTGAGGGACGTCGCTTTGGGGGTCTCCTCCGGATTCTCCAGATTAAGAGCCAGGTGGTCCCAATGCAGCACCATGTGGCACTGGGTTTTGATATGCACCCTCGATCCCACTTCTGACACCATTGTAGCAAAGGGGTGCACAGAAGCTCAGACAACTTGAAGTTTATGCCCATTGCAAAGCTTTATTTAGAATTGACTCGGAATACGAGGGACTGTGGCCTCTAGCCCAGCCACAATTTGCTACAGAATCTCACCCGGGTTATGAATAAGGACACAAACTTGGGTGACGGCAACTTGCACTTAAAAAACACAGTACCTCCCCCTCTCACCCTGCTCAAAAGTTCACATAAGCTGTAAACATTAACAAGGAGTGCTTAGCAATGGTAGCGAAAACCTTTACTTTAGAACTAAATACAGCCCAGCTCAACAAAGCATTATGGGAACCCAGGCGTGCCCTGATACCGCAATATATAGAGGAGATGAGAAAAGTCCCTGTGTAACGTCTCTGCCATAAAAAATAAAAGAGTGACGATATGGAGAAAACAAGTTGTGAATCAGTGAATCGATTCACCAAAGTGGGCAGTTATAAAGAATTGATTCAGTGAGCTTCAACTTCCAACTGTGGTCTCAGTATTATTCCTAGTGATTCCCCTTGTGTTTTATGAGCCAGATAAAATTAACTGAAATATGCTTATGTTGCTAAGATTGAATGGGAGTAAACACCAATAAATAGTGTTGAACTCACTTAAGTGCTTCCATTTGATTTTTACTGAATGATTCTTTAATCATATGCCAACAATAAAACAACAATGAAATTTTAGAATTGCTCACTTGAACAAACATTTTACAGGCTTGAGTTTTTCTTGGTACCAATATCCAAACAAATGTGTAACATGAGTTCTTTAGATTTAAGAGATGCTTAAAAGTGTAGTGATATACAAGTCTAACTTTATTGATCATAGTATCATGGTAGTTTTTCAAGCCTTAGTGCTTTTATAAGCACATAAAAGTGGAAGCATTGTTGCCTGAGCACAAAACCGAATGAATATAGTTTTCCTCTTTTTCTTCAAACTAAAGTTGTAGCGTGTTGTACCAGTTGTACCTACAGCGGCCACTCACAGCGTATAGGCGATTGCTACACACCCGTGACATTTCGTAATGACCATTATTGCATCTATAGGATCCTGTTTAAAATACGTTGTTATTACAAAACTCTTGCTTAGCTTTAGGCCCCAAATACAGCTTCCAATGCCTGTTTAATATAGGTCGCGTGTAGTGGCCCCACAGTCCTTTGGCCTGCAAAACTGTGACGCAAGAGTGCTTAGAGTAACTGAGTGTGGTACAAAATACCTACATAAGAACGTTGAAGTAAGAGCAGAAATCATGAGTGAATATACAGTACATGGACAAAAGTACAGGGACACCCCTCCTGTTTATTGAGTCCAGCTGTTTCAGCCACACTCATTGCTAACAGGTGAATAAAATTGAGCACATAGTCCTGCAGTCTCGACAAACACTGGCAGTAGAGGGTCGTAATGATGAGCTCACAGACTTTAAACATGGCACTGTCATAGGACGCCACCTCTGCCACAAGTCAGTTTGTGGAATTTCTGCCCTGCTAGATCTGCCCTAGACAACTGTAAGTGCTATTATTGTGAAATGGAAGCACTTAGGAGCAACAGCAGCTCAGCCATGAAGCGGTAGACCACTCATACTTAGAGTGGGACCGCCGAGCGCTGAAGCGCATGAAGATTCCAAACT